TGGGCATTCTTAGTCATTCTGGAGCTCATTCTATCTTATCAAACCTTATTTTGGTCAAAATGAACTCTACAACTTGATTCTTTTCCTTAAATTTGCTCATTTTTAGCCATTCCGGAGCCGACTCTACCTCAGAAAGCCAAATTTTTGCCTTTGCTTGTTTTTTTTATCATTACCAGATTCCAGTTTGGCTTCTTTAAGGAATTTCAAGCATTCCTAATTTGTTTTCTTGATTTGCCCACCCAAAGTACGAATCATTTATCTTCGCTGTTCTATACTAGAAAAAAATATTCGAAAATTGAAACCTTAGTTGAAAAACCTTAAAATACACCCACTCAAAATTTCCCCAAAGAAAATTCTCATCTTTGTCGCCAAAAATCACATGAGCTTGGGGAAATTTGGCTTCTTTCGGGAGATTTCGAAAATTTTGCTGGAATTTTATGTTTCGGTACATGGAAACGGGGAACTTCTGAGAAAAATTGATGAGATTTTTTGAAAAGAAGTTGAATTTTTCCAAGGTTTCTTTGAGTTTTTGGTACTCTGTGTGGGATTTATTTTTTTTGGCAATTTGTTGGTTTTAGTTCAAGGAAAGCCAGGAATTTGTGCTTTTTTGTAGCTTGAGTACGAGTAGTTTTTGTAGCTTTGGTGGAAATATTGTCCATTCAAAATCGTAAAGAATGGGTCTGAGTTAGGACCGATTCGCACTAAAACCAAACTGCCTTGGCATAACGAGATGTAGAATTTTAAAAATTGTTCTCAAAAATTCGGGCATAGTGACGCCGAAGACGGTTTTCAAATAGCACCAAATTGAGTTGGACTGGATTAGCCAATCCTGAGAAAATCAAGAGACAAAGCTTTCAAGTTGGATAGCTTTGTTCTCCGAATTTAGCTAGTACTGTTTCACCAACTAATTGCAAGACCCAGAAAACGGAACTTTTCTGTTCACTGGGTGCTCAAAAATCGAGTTAAAAATAAAGCACCAATTATTCCCATAAATTTAGGCATAGTCGGCCAAAACGGAACAACCGGCTCGCTTGCTCACTGCTCCTCCGGATATGAAAAGGGAAGCGTCTTATACCGGATGGGTATGCCAGATGGAGAGCGATTACGAGCGCGTACAAAGAACACTTCACCAGTCATTTACAGAGAGATTTCTTTTCTTGCTTTGTGGATGGCACAAAAAGAAGATATTTAGTCATAAATTTGTTCCATGGGGTCGGCGAATTAATTGGAAATATTCATTTTATTGGATCTAGTATCCTCAAATTTCGATGTAGCTCGGGAATTCACTAAAATAAACATTTTGGCATTAGTAACGAATTTTAGTTTATTCCTTTACATTATTATTCTTTCGCAGAACCAATGATTTTTTCCGGAATCTTTTGAGAAAAGAATTAAGTTTTGACCTTCATTTGTCGGATCGGGGGATTAGGCGAATGACGGAGTTCGATTTTTTAGACAAACCGAAAACAAGCAAGCTGTGCCTTTTGCGTTGGATTGAAATGAATCAAATTTTTGGTTTGAAATGGATGAAGAGTGATTGAAAAAGGATATTTGAAATAAAAGTTTAGAATACAATTCTTCAAGCAAACATTGCTTGAGAAATGTCCAGTTACTCACAAGTGGTGCACGGTGGTCCGATGATGACATCGACACCATAATCGGTGATCATTTGAACGGCCACTCCAGCAGCGGTAGCTTCATCACAATCCGTGTAGTTGGTGAAGAATCTGGAGAGGATCTCGTTGACAAAACAAATTACAAGCACTTGTTGGACAAAATGACTAAAAAATTGTTGTTTTTTCTTATTAACTCACTCATAAGTGTAATCGTTCAGGATTTGATTCTGCACTATGTAGTCCATTGCCATTGGAATCGCTCCACCTGTGTCTGAAAGGCCAATGTCGCGGGAGGAGACTTCGGTGGCTGAAAATGGGTAGAATAAATGTCTTGTTTGGCTATTTTTCTTTAAGACTCTCAGACCTTAACTGTAGCTCGAAATTAGCTTCTCGAATAGCTTTTCAGCTTCAAATTGCTCTTGATTAGCTAGTTTTATTGAAAAGTCCTATCTTTTTTCTACAAAGTGCTTCACAGGTATTTTAGAAAGCTCCTGTTTTGAAAAATTTCAAGAGGTGAGAAGACGAGTTGTCAAGATTAACAAAGATCCGGTGATGCGATTTGACCCCTTTCTTCTACAGAGCTTTCCTTTGGTGTAAATCGAAAAAGGATGGAACGTAAAAAGTTAGGAGTAAAGCTAAATTTTCAGAAAAATTCGTCGCACCGTTTTCTTTATCTTTCTCCTCTAAGAATTTAAGATAGATGCGAATTTACTTGCGCATTTGCATCAAATCAGGCCAGAGTTCATTTTAACACATTCACGGCCGTTTTTCACAAAACTGCCGTCTCGGACGAGAGTCGAAAGAGAGACATCACACCCAGTCGAAAAAGGCACAAAATCTTGCCAGGGGGACATTTAAAAAAAAATCTAACAACGGATTTGGGTTTCCCACTATCGATTTGGTATTCTCACAAATTTTCGGGTCGATCTGACGACTCAGCCAAAAAATCGAGGGACCCATCGTCCCACGCGCCTACTCACTTAGGGACCCACCGTGTGGGTCCCTTCGTCGTGAATGTGTTGAAATACCTAAAATTAAACACTTACCACCTTTTATTTTTAGCGTTCCAACGTTTGTTTGGAGAAAAGTCGCTAATAAAAAAATAATGAGCAGGAGATGGATTACAACACATAGTATTCAGCCCAATAACTCAAAATTTAGTCCATCTGTGAAATCTGATTTTTAGAACTTAAAATACTACGATAAATATCAGAAGCTCTCACTGATGACTCCAATCTTGAGCAATTTGTTCCCTGGTGGGTATGGGTAATCGGAGGGAAGATTTGCATTGAATGGAAGTGGAGTGGTGAAGGGAGGAGTTGTTGGGATGGATGGAGAAGGAGTTGGAGATGATTGGGCCTGAAAAGTAATTGATAAACTGTTGTAACTCGTAAAGGGTTTAGTGTCAATTTGTGGTTGTTCGAGTACGTTAAAATTGAAGGAGATCGGTAATGCTGAATCATAAACAGTAAATCTAGACTTACCCAAGATCGCTCCAATGGCAATTTTCCCAGGCCAGGCAGACCTAGATCAGGTCAGCAGCCAAGTTACTATAGGCTATAAAATGTTTATGAGCTTAACCTCTGGACGACCTCTGGCCTGGTCTTGCTTGGCCTAAGAGTCCAGATAACCCTGGCAGGCCTGAAAATAGCAGCCCTAGACCAGGACCAGGCTTAAAGCCTCAAAATTGGATAGCCGCACTGACTGGCTCGCACTTACAATGATTAGCTATAGTACAGTACTTAATATAGCGCATAACATATCAAATATATCAATTTGAGCTTGATATTGATATGAATTTGGATACTTCAAACTCACTCCTATCCTCCAAATGCTCTGGAAGAAGCAAAATATCCATAGTAGCATTGTGGAGCAAAACTGTAGCTTAAAAAGCTTGAATTATGTTTTTTGTTAAATTGAACGTAGCAAAATTGACTGGATAATCTCAAAATTTTGAAATATACAATAAGTTTTGCTTTTTTACCGACTGATTGGAAGCCTTGAGTGATTCCCGGATCTAAGGTTTCTTCCACACAAAAATAAATCTCGAAATCCGTCAAAAGATGCTCAAATTTTCGAAATCCTCTTGAAATTGGTTTTAAAGAAAGGGGGAATCGATGAAAATATAAAATTTTGAAAATTTTATGGGTTTTTGGATTTGAAGAGTGTCAGAGAAGAGATTATATAGAATATAGAGATTATAGAGAATTTTAGATTTCTTCCCCAACTATGGCTTACTGTGATCTAACTAAAGAATACTGAAAGTGTGTGGGATAACAAGATTGCACAAAATTGCTTTGTGGATAAAGATTTAAACCAAAATTAGAAATTTTTTTGATCAAAGTCAGCAAGATTAGTCAAATTTATCATTCATTCATTTAATCAGTTTGAATCTGAATTTAAATTTGGTTTGAATTTTGCTAGATAGTCTTTGAATTTGAATTTGAATAGAATTCATTTATGCTTCAGTCTCTATAATTTTTCTCTTGTTGAGTTCAATAGGTTTACCGTGTGTCATTTTATCAATTTAACATGCTCCATTGTCACTCTTTCATGCTTATATGAATAAAGTATCTACTTGATATAAAGGAACTAAGACATCTGTCTGTCTGTCTGTCTGTGTTCTTGGATTTTTTCAAAAGCACGATTCGAGTCGCACGGGGAGGTCGAACCCGGATCGTATAGGCGATAGACCGGCTCGCTATTCACTGCTCCACGGCAACAAAACCGTCCATCCCCAAAACATTCAGAAAAACCCCCCGTTAGGCCGGTTTCTTAGCTGGTTGATATATAAGATCCAACGAACCTTTTACAGTTTCAATGCCGAGATTTTGAGTTTTGAAAGCTACAAAATGAACAATCTTTATTCGATCGTGGAATTTACATTTTGTGAATTCGGTTCAGTTTTAAAGTTTCCATCTTGTGGATCCGATTTGATCGTTGAATTTCCATCTTGCGGATCCGATTTGATCGTTGAATTTTCATCTTCTGAATCCGATTCGTACGTAGAATTTGCATTTTGTGAATTCGATTTGATCGTTGAATTTTCATCTTCTGAATCCGATTCGTACGTGGAATTTACATTTTGTGAATTCGGTTCAGTTTTAAAGTTTCCATCTTGTGGATCCGATTTGATCGTTGAATTTCCATCTTGCGGATCCGATTTGATCGTTGAATTTTCATCTTCTGAATCCGATTCGTACGTGGAATTTGCATTTTGTGAATTCGATTTGATCGTTGAATTTTCATCTTCTGAATCCGATTCGTACGTGGAATTTACATTTTGTGAATTCGGTTCAACTGTAAAGTTTCCATCTTGCTGATCCGATTTGATCGTTGAATTTTCATCTTCTGAATCCAATTCGTACGTGAAATTCCCTTTCATTTCATCAAAGCAACTCGGATCAGCACTACAATAGGATGATCTATTTCGAGCCAGACAGCAAACAATCGGAAATTGGCACGTTCCCAGGATACAAGTTGGATATTTTTCATTCTGGAAATAAAAAATAAGCAAGCATTCGTTTTCTCAAAACCAACCTTTTCGTGTTCGATACATTTATGGCTGGCATAATGCTTGGGGTTTGCTTGAAGACAAACGTGAAACTTTGGACATCGACCAGTCCATTCACCGCCACACCCTGTAAAATGGAATTGATTTTAGCTTTAGAAAAGGATTATTTTTAAGCCGTTAGAAAACCACTGCAAGTTTTCTGATTTCCAAATTACTCAAGAATTTACAAATTGCTTCCAAAGCCTTTAGCAAAATGATTGATAAAAAGAGAATTGTGATTCTTTGAAGCATTTCCAAGAAGAAAAGAAATAAGATCAAATGCCAAAGACAATCAATCGAAATTGCCCAAGAAGACATTGTTGTTGAACACAAAATGAATCAAAAATGGACTTCAGAAAATGGAGAAAAGAAACAAAATGAATGAACGAGTGGAACAAGTGAGTCAAGGCAATGGCTTCTGAAATGTTGAGCAATTTTTGGAATTACTTAACTAGCCTAGGCAACATCGAACTAGCCATAAATATTAAAGTTTGTCTCAAAAAAAAGTAATTTATAGTTTCAAATTGCTGCAAATTCCTTCTCCTCACTTTTTTCCCGTCGCAAGAATTTCCACCCGAACCGGTTCTACCTGGGTTCTTGAACGAGGCAAAAACTGGCTATATTGTCGCTAAGGTGTGGTTAATGTGGTTGAGTTATGGATTTTCTAAAATGTGTCCGCTTTCGCAAAATACCGTAACCTTGTCTCTGGTTTTTATTCAGTCTACCTGCTTTTTCTAACTTAAAGTATTCTTCGTGAATCCTCACAGAATCAGTCCAAGGTGTAAATTGGAGGAATCGGAGCTATAAAAGGACCAGAAGTAGATAAATTGGATAAAAACTAGCGGTAGGCCTTCAGCAGTCTTTACATTTCTTAGAAAACAAGGCAACTGACTTGATTCGGTTAATCGATTCGATAGAAACAATCCATTACCAGACAGAAATCTGACTAATCTAAAATCTTAACCACGCTCGGAAGTTATTGTAAAAATTTTTAGGAGGTTCTCAAGATTCCAGAGTGTCCTGTGTCCGGGGAAACATGTGAGTTGAAAAAATGGAAGATTTTGTTAGGGGCGTTACACTCATTGGACTCCATAGGAACTAGCTTTTATCAATCCTGAATTTGTTGACCCAAATGCTTTCAGATGCGATCACCAATCCAATGCCTTGCCCATATGAATTCTTCTGCCGTCACACAGTGTATTTTTATTGTTACTCTTGGATACGCACGGACAACGCATAGTGCGATAGTGCACTTCTCGCATTGCATGCCCGCTTTGCCGGGAGGTAACATTAAGCAATGTGACCGACACGCAAGAGAACGCGCTTACAGGTGGAAAAATTAAGTTTCACTTTTATCATTCTCCTCAAAATTCTTGAGAGAGTTGGTGCAGCAATTCAAACTCCCCAAGCCGTTCAGGCCTCAATGCTCGACTTGCCTGAAAAAGGTTTGATCTAGAAAATAAGTTTTTCGGTAAAATTTCATCAAAAAAAATTCGAGAATCACCATTCTCTTCGGTCAGTTTTCAAGTCATTTATTTGCAATGCTCAATGAAAGTTGTGATTCTTAAAGAATTGGAAATCTTCATGGTACATCGCTCGGACGAATTCCATTGTTTGTGGGGTTTGTCTCACGGTCCGTTCCAGTTTCTTCTTATGGGCCTCATTGCTTGGACTGGCATGTCTTGTTGTTGATTTCGAAAGGTGAAGAAGGGCCTAAAAAGAAACTATTGGAATCCAACAGAAAAAACTCTATAACTTATTGAGCAAACTATAACTTACCTACATGCATTTACGAGCTGAACAAACAAGTATAAGAGAATAAAACTCTGATTAGAGAAAAGCGAAGTCATTCCCCTTGTTTTCAGATCGATCTAATAAAAGCAGTGGAGGAACCGGTGGTTGAAAAAGAGGAAAGACCAAACTTACTTTGGATCGCCTGATGACTAGAGTCAATCTTTAAACAAAAAATTGGCTAGGAAACGTGAGATTTATGTTTAATAGAAAGGGCTCCAATGCCCTTTCTATCCTTTGATTAAAACTAAAAAAAACTGAAATGAAATGCTTAAGGGAAAAAGGAAATGTGTTCAGTGAATAGTTTAGAATTTTTAGCATCTTTGCGATAAACGAAAGCAGGTCAAAGTTTCTTTTTGATTTCGTGAAGAAACAGAGTCCCACGAAAACCCTCTTTCCCTCGGAATGAACACTAAGTTTTCTAGTTTTGTGGGAACTCGATTCGCAAGTGCGAACAGACTTTGAAGAAATGGATCACTCACTCTAAAAAAAGCTCTATGCGCTTCCCAAAATTTTTCTGCTTTCGCCAATAAGAACATCCAACCTTTAACATGCAATTTTTAGTAAGGATCACAAGCCGCTCGTATAGGAAGCCTAATCGATTAACTGGAAGGGGAAAGCCGATTAATCTTTTTGTGTTTTGCAAACTCTGGTTTGTATTTATTTCATTGTGGAATCTCTTGCTTTTTGTGTGATAAATTCATGGTTTGGGGAATGAAATGTGATCTTTACAACATAACTTATTGAACAAAATGAACTCTGAGCGAATGAACTCGAAATGAATAAAGGAAAAAGAGAAACGCTTATTGCCTGCGACTATAAACAGCTATTAGTGCGTGAAAAAGAGCGTGCTTTGTCGAAATGACATCGGCTTAGGCTTAGGCTTAGGCTTAGGCTTAGGCTTAGGCTTAGGCTTAGGCTTAGGCTTAGGCTTAGGCTTAGGCTTAGGCTTAGGCTTAGGCTTAGGCTTAGGCTTAGGCTTAGGCTTAGGCTTAGGCCTAGGCTTAGGCTTAGGCTTAGGCTTAGGCTTAGGCTTAGGCTTAGGCTTAGGCTTAGGCTTAGGCTTGGGCTTAGGCTTAGGCTTAGGCTTAGGCTTGGGCTTAGGCTTAGGCTTAGGCTTGGGCTTAGGCTTAGGCTTAGGCTTAGGCTTAGGCCTAGGCTTAGGCTTAGGCTTAGGCTTAGGCTTAGGCTTAGGCTTAGGCTTAGGCTTAGGCTTAGGCTTAGGCTTAGGCTTAGGCTTAGGCTTAGGCCAGGCTTAGGCTTAGGCTTAGGCTCAGGCTTAGGCTTAGGCTTAGGCTTAGGCTTAGGCTTAGGCTTAGGCTTAGGCTTAGGCCAGGCTTAGGCTTGGGCTTAGGCTTAGGCTTAGGCTTAGGCCAGGCCTAGGGCTTAGGGCTTAGGCCTAGGGCTTAGGCTTAGGCTTAGGCTTAGGCTTCAGGCTTGAGGCTTAGGCTCAGGCTTAGGCTTAGGGCTTAGGCTTTTAGGCTTAGGCTTCCGAAGCCTAGCCTAAGCCTAAGCCTAAGCCCTAAGCCTAAGCCTAAGCCTAAGCCTAAGCCTAAGCCTAAGCCTAAGCCTAAGCCTAGCCCTGGCCTAAGCCTAAGCCCTCAAGCCTAAGCCTAAGCCTAAGCCTAAGCCTAAGCCTAAGCCTAAGCCTAAGCCTAAGCCTAAGCCTAAGCCTAAGCCCAAGCCCTAAGCCTAAGCCTAAGCCTGCCCAAGCCTAAGCCTAAGCCTGGCCCAAGCCTAAGCCTAGGCCTGGCTGGCCTGGCCTAAGCCCTAGGCCTGGCCTCCAAGCCCCAAGCCTAAGCCTGGCCTAAGCCTAAGCCTAGGCCTGGCCCAAGCCTAAGCCTAAGCCTAAGCCTAAGCCTAAGCCTAAGCCTAAGCCTAAGCCTAAGCCTAAGCCTAAGCCTAAGCCTAAGCCTAAGCCTAAGCCTAAGCCTAAGCCTAAGCCTAAGCCTAAGCCTAAGCCTAAGCCTAAGCCTAAGCCTAAGCCCAAGCCTAAGCCTAAGCCTAAGCCTAAGCCTAAGCCTAAGCCTAAGCCTAAGCCTAAGCCTAAGCCTGAGCCTAAGCCTAAGCCTAAGCCTAAGCCTAAGCCTAAGCCTAAGCCTAAGCCTAAGCCTAAGCCTAAGCCTAAGCCTAAGCCTAAGCCTAAGCCGATGTCATTTCGACAAAGTACACTCTTTTTCGCGCACTAATAGCTGTTTATAGTCGCAGGCAATAAGCGTTCCTCTTTTTTCTTTGTTCATTTCGAGTTCATTCGCTCAGAGTTCATTTTGTTCAATAAGTTATGTTGTAAAGATCAATTTTTATTCCCCAAACCATAAATTTATCACACAAAAAGCAAGAGATTCCACAATAAAAGAAATACAAACCAGAGTTTGCAAAACACAAAAAGATTAATCGGCTTTCCCCTTCCAGTTAATCGATTAGGCTTCCTATACGAGCGGCTTGTGATCCTCACTAAAATTGCATGTTAAAGGTTGTATGTTCTTATTGGTCAAAGCAGAAAAATTTTGGGAAGCGCATAGAACTTTTTTTAGGGTGAGTGATCCATTTCTTCAAAGTCTGTTCGCACTTGCGAATCGAGTTCCCACAAAACTAGAAAACTCAGTGTTCATTCCGACGGAAAGAGGGTTTTCGTGGGAATCTGCTTCTTCACGAAATCACAAAGAAACTTTGATCTGCTTTCGTCTATTGCAAAGATGCTAAAAATTCTAAACTATTCACTGAACACTTTTCCTTTTTCCGTGAAGCATTTCATTTCAGTTTTTTTAGTTTCAATCAAAGGAGGCCTTTCTATTAAACATAAATCTCACGTTTCCTAGCCAATTTTTTGTTTAAAGTTTGCCTCTAGTCATCAGGCGATCCAAAGCAAGTTTTGTCTTTCCTCTTTTTCAACCACCGGTTCCTCCACGGCTTTTATTCGATCGATCTGAAAACAAGGGGAATGACTTCGCTTTTCTCTGGTCAGAGTTTTATTTTGTTATAGTTTTATTCTTGTTTGTTCAGCTCGTAAATGCATGTAGGTACTGGTTTTGCTCAATAAGTTATAGTTTTTTTCTGTTGGATTGCAATAGTTTCTTTTCAGGCCCTTCTTCACCTTTTGAAATCAAAAACAAGACATGCCAGTCCAAGCAATGAGGCCCATAAGAAGAAACTGGAACGGACCGTGAGACAAACCCCACAAACAATGGAATTCGTCCGAGCGATGTACCATGAAGATTTCCAATTCTTTAAGAATCACAACTTTCATTGAGCATTGCAAATAAATGGCTTGAAAACTGACCGAAGAGAATGGTGATTCTGGAATTTTTTTGATGAAATTTTACCGAAAAACTTATTTTCTAGATCAAACCTTTTTCAGGCAAGTCGAGCATTGAGGCCTGAACGGCTTGGGGAGTTTGAATTGCTGCACCATTTCCGGCAACTCTCTCAAGAATTCTGAAGAGAATGATAAAAGTGAAACTTAATTTTTCCACCTGTAAGCGCGTTCTCTTGCGTGTCGGTCACATTGCTTAATGTTACCTTCCGGCAAAGCGGGCATGCAATGCGAAAAGTGCACTGTCCGTGCGCGTTGTTCGTGCGTATCCAAGAGTAACAATAAAAATACACTGTGTGACGGCAGAAGAATTCAGATGGGCAAGGCATTGGATTGGTGATCGCATCTGAAAGTATTTGGGTCAACAAATTCAGGATTGATAAAAGCTAGTTCCTATGGAGTCCAATGAATGTAACGCCCCTAACAAAATCTTCCATTTTTTCAACTCACATGTTTCCCCGGACACAGGACACTCTGGAATCTTGACAACCTCCTAAAAATTTTTACAATAACTTCCGAGCGTGGTTAACATTTTAGATTAGTCAGATTTCTGTCTGGTAATGGATTGTTTGTACCAAATAGATTAACCGAATCAAGTCAGTTGCCTTGTTTTCTAAGAAATGTAAGGACTGCTGAAAGCCTGCCGCTAGTTTTTATCCAATTTATCTACTTCTGGTCCTTTTATAGCTCCGATTTATCCAATTTACACCTTGGACTGATTCTGTGAGGATTCACCAAGAATACTTTAAGTTATAAAAAGCAGGTAGACTGAGTAAAAACCGGAGACAAGGTTACCGTATTTTGCGAGAGCGGACACATTTTAGAAAATCCATAACTCAACCACATTAACCACCCCTTAGCGACAATATAGCCAGTTTTTGCCTCGTTCAAGAACCCAGGTAGAACCGGTTCGGGTGGAAATTCTTGTGACGGGAAAAAGTGAGGAGAAGGAATTTGCAGCAATTTGAAACTATAAATTACTTTTTTTTGGGAACAAACTTTAATATTTATGGCTAGTTCGATGTTGCCTAGACTAGTTAAGTAATTCCAAAAATTGCTCAACATTTCAGAAGCCATTGCCTTGACTCACTTGTTCCACTCGTTCATTCATTTTGTTTCTTTTCTCCATTTTCTGAACTCCATTTTTGATTCATTTTGTGTTCAACAACAATGTCTTCTTGTCTTCTTAGGCAATTTCGATTGATTGTCTTTGGCATTTGATCTTATTTCTTTTCTTCTTGGAAATGCTTCAAAGAATCACAATTCTCTTTTTATCAATCATTTTGCTAAAGGCTTTGGAAGCAATTTGTAAATTCTTGAGTAATTTGGAAATCAGAAAACTTGCAGTGGTTTTCTAACGGCTTAAAAATAATCCTTTTCTAAAGCTAAAATCAATTCCATTTTACAGGGTGTGGCGGTGAATGGACTGGTCGATGTCCAAAGTTTCACGTCTGTCTTCAAGCAAACCCCAAGCATTATGCCAGCCATAAATGTATCGAACACGAAAAGGTTGGTTTTGAGAAAACGATTTTGCTTATTTTTTCATTTCCAGAATGAAAAATACCCAACTTGTATCCTGGGAACGTGCCAATTTCCGATTGTTTGCTGTCTGGCTCGAAATAGATCATCCTATTGTAGTGCTGATCCGAGTTGCTTTGATGAAATGAAAGGGAATTTCACGATCGAATTGGATTCAGAAGATGAAAATTCCACAATCAAATCGGATCAGCAAGATGGAAACTTTACAGTTGAACCGAATTCACAAAATGTAAATTCCACGTACGAATCGGATTCAGAAGATGAAAATTCAACGATCAAATCGGATCCGCAAGATGGAAACTTTAAAACTGAACCGAATTCACAAAATGTAAATTCCACGATCGAATAAAGATTGTTCATTTTGTAGCTTTCAAAACTCAAAATCTCGGCATTGAAACTGTAAAAGGTTCTTTGGATCTTATATATTTCAACCAGCCAAGAAACCGGTCTAACGGAGGGTTTTTCTGGATGTTTTGGGGATGGACGGCTTTTGTTGCCGCAGAGCAGTGAATAGCGAGCCGGTCTATCGCCCATACGATCCGGGTTCGACCTCCCCGTGCGACTCGAATCGTGCTTTTGAAAAAATCCAAGAACACAGACAGATGTCTTAGTTCCTTTATATCAAGTAGATACTTTATTCATATAAGCATGAAAAAGTGACAATGGAGCATGTTAAATTGATAAAATGACACACGGTAAACTTATTGAATTCAACAAGAGAAAAATTATAGAGACTGAAGCATAAATGAATTCTATTCAAATTCAAATTCAAAGACTATCTAGCAAAATTCAGACCAAATTTAAATTCAGATTCAAACTGATTAAATGAATGAATGATAAATCTGACTAATCTTGCTGACTTTGATCAAAAAAATTTCTAATTTTGGTTTAAATCTTTATCCACAAAGCAATTTTGTGCAATCTTGTTATCCCGCAGACTTTCAGTATTCTTTAGTTAGTTCACAGTAAGCCATAGTTGGGGAAGAGATCTAAAATTCTCTATAATCTCTATATTCTATATAATCTCTTCTCTGACACTCTTCAAATCCAAAAACCCATAAAATCTTCAAAATTTTACATTTTCATCGATTCCCCCTTTCTTTAAAACCAATTTCAAGAGGATTTCGAAAATTTGAGCATCTTTTGACGGATTTCGAGATTTATTTTTGTGTGGAAGAAACCTTAGATCCGGGAATCACTCAAGGCTTCCCATCAGTCGGTAAAAAAGCAAAACTTATTGTATATTTCAAAATTTTGAGATTATCCAGCCAATTTTGCTACGTTCAATTTAACAAAAAACATAATTCAAGCTTTTTAAGCTACAGTTTTGCTCCACAATGCTACTATGGATATTTTGCTTCTTCCAGAGCATTTGGAGGATAGGAGTGAGTTTGAAGTATCCAAATTCATATCAATATCAAGCTCAAATTGATATATTTGATATGTTATGCGCTATATTAAGTACTGTACTATAGCTAATCATTGTAAGTGCGAGCCAGTCAGTGCGGCTATCCAATTTTGAGGCTTTAAGCCTGGTCCTGGTCTAGGGCTGCTATTTTCCGGCCTGCCAGGGTTATCTGGACTCTTAGGCCAAGCAAGACCAGGCCAGAGGTCGTCCAGAGGTTAAGCTCATAAACATTTTATAGCCTATAGTAACTTGGCTGCTGACCTGATCCTGGTCTTGGTCTGCCTGGCCTGGGAAAATTGCCATTGGAGCGATCTTGGGTAAGTCTAGATTTACTGTTTATGATTCAGCATTACCGATCTCCTTCAATTTTAACGTACTCGAACAACCACAAATTGACACTAAACCATTTACGAGTTACAACAGTTTATCAATTACTTTTCAGGCCCAATCATCTCCAACTCCTTCTCCATCCATCCCAACAACTCCTCCCTTCACCACTCCACTTCCATTCAAAGCAAATCTCCCCTCCGATTACCCATACCCACCAGGGAACAAATTGCTCAAGATTGGAGTCATCAGTGAGAGCTTCTGATATTTATCGTAGTATTTTAAGTTCTAAAAATCAGATTTCACAGATGGACTAAATTTTGAGTTATTGGGCTGAATACTATGTGTTGTAATCCATCCCCTGCTCATTATTTTTTTATTAGCGACTTTTCTCCAAACAAACGTTGGAACGCTAAAAATAAAAGGTGGTAAGTGTTTAATTTTAGGTATTTCAACACATTCACGACGAAGGGACCCACACGGTGGGTCCCTAAGTGAGTAGGCGCGTGGGACGATGGGTCCCTCGATTTTTTGGCTGAGTCGTCAGATCGACCCGAAAATTTGTGAGAATACCAAATCGATAGTGGGAAACCCAAATCCGTTGTTAGATTTTTTTAAAAATGTCCCCCTGGCAAGATTTTGTGCCTTTTTCGACTGGGTGTGATGTCTCTCTTTCGTCCTGTCTCTCTTTCGACTCTCGTCCGAGACGGCAGTTTTGTGAAAAACGGCCGTGAATGTGTTAAAATGAACTCTGGCCTGATTTGATGCAAATGCGCAAGTGAATTCGCATCTATCTTAAATTCTTAGAGGAGAAAGATAAAGAAAACGGTGCGACGAATTTTTCTGAAAATTTAGCTTTACTCCTAACTTTTTACGTTCCATCCTTTTTCGATTTACACCAAAGGAAAGCTCTGTAGAAGAAAGGGGTCAAATCGCATCACCGGATCTTTGTTAATCTTGACAACTCGTCTTCTCACCTCTTGAAATTTTTCAAAACAAGAGCTTTCTAAAATACCTGAGAAGCATTTTGTAGAAAAAAGAAAGGACTTTTCAATAAAACAAACCATGTTTGTGTTTTGGTCGATTCACCGTTTCTAAAACGGTCAATGAAGATACCATACCAACACATAGTACTCAACCTAATAAGTTGCTAATCAAGAGCAATTTGAAGCTGAAAAGCTATTCAAGAAGCTAATTTCGAGCTACAGTTAAGGTCTGAGAGTTTTAAAGAAAAATAGCCAAACAAGACATTTATTCTACCCATTTTCAGCCACCGAAGTCTCCTCCCGCGACATTGGCCTTTCAGACACAGGTGGAGCGATTCCAATGGCAATGGACTACATAGTGCAGAATCAAATCCTGAACGATTACACTTATGAGTGAGTTAATAAGAAAAAACAACAATTTTTTAGTCATTTTGTCCAACAAGTGCTTGTAATTTGTTTTGTCAACGAGATTCTCTCCAGATTCTTCACCAACTACACGGATTGTGATGAAGCTACCGCTGCTGGAGTGGCCGTTCAAATGATCACCGATTATGGTGTCGATGTCATCATCGGACCACCGTGCACCACTTGTGAGTAACTGGACAGTTCTCAAGCAATGTTTGCTTGAAGAATTGTATTCTAAACTTTTATTTCAAATATCCTTTTTCAATCACTCTTCATCCATTTCAAACCAAAAATTTGATTCATTTCAATCCAACGCAAAAGGAACAGCTTGTCTGTTTCCGTTTTGTCTAAAAAATCGAACTCCGTCATTCGCCTAATCCCCCGATCCGACAAATGAAGGTCAAAACTTAATTCTTTTCTCAAAAGATTCCGGAAAATTTCATTGGTTCTGCGAAAGAATAATAATGTAAAGGAATAAACTAAAATTCGTTACTAATGCCAAAATGTTTATTTTAGTGAATTCCCGAGCTACATCGAAATTTGAGGATACTAGATCCAATAAAATGAATATTTCCAATTAATTCGCCGACCCCATGGAACAAATTTATGACTAAATATCTTCTTTTTGTGCCATCCACAAAGCAAGAAAAGAAATCTCTCTGTAAATGACTGGTGAAGTGTTCTTTGTACGCGCTCGTAATCGCTCTCCATCTGGCATACCCATCCGGTATAAGACGCTTCCCTTTTCATATCCGGAGGAGCAGTGAGCAAGCGAGCCGGTTGTTCCGTTTCGGACTATGCCTAAATTTATGGGAATAATTGGTGCTTTATTTTTAACTCGATTTTTGAGCACCCAGTGAACAGAAAAGTTCCGTTTTCTGGGTCTTGCAATTAGTTGGTGAAACAGTACTAGCTAAATTCGGAGAACAAAGCGATCCAACTTGAAAGCTTTGTCTCTTGATTTTCTCAGGATTGGCTAATCCAGTCCAACTCAATTTGGTGCTATTTGAAAACCGTCTTCGGCGTCACTATGCCCGAATTTTTGAGAACAATTTTTAAAATTCTACATCTCGTTATGCCAAGGCAGTTTGGTTTTAGTGCGAATCGGTCCTAACTCAGACCCATTCTTTACGATTTTGAATGGACAATATTTCCACCAAAGCTACAAAAACTACTCGTACTCAAGCCACAAAAAAGCACAAATTCCTGGCTTTCCTTGAACTAAAACCAACAAATTGCCAAAAAAAATAAATCCCACACAGAGTACCAAAAACTCAAAGAAACCTTGGAAAAATTCAACTTCTTTTCAAAAAATCTCATTAATTTTTCTCAGAAGTTCCCCGTTTCCATGTACCGAAACATAAAATTCCAGCAAAATTTTCGAAATCTCCCGAAAGAAGCCAAATTTCTCCAAGCTCATGTGATTTTTGGCGACAAAGATGAGAATTTTCTTTGGGGAAATTTTGAGTGGGTGTATTTTAAGGTTTTTCAACTAAGGTTTCAATTTTCGAATATTTTTTTCTAGTATAGAACAGCGAAGATAAATGATTCGTACTTTGGGTGGGCAAATCAAGAAAACAAATTAGGAATGCTTGAAATTCCTTAAAGAAGCCAAACTGGAATCTGGTAATGATAAAAAAAACAAGCAAAGGCAAAAATTTGGCTTTCTGACGTAGAGTCGGCTCCGGAATGGCTAAAAATGAGCAAATTTAAGGAAAAGAATCAAGTTGTAGAGTTCATTTTGACCAAAATAAGGTTTGATAAGATAGAATGAGCTCCAGAATGACTAAGAATGCCCAAATTTGAATAAAAAGTGAGGATTTGTTTCCAGTTTCGTGTAAAGTACTCAGGTTTTATAAGAAATTCGACAGGAATTGCCTGGGTGTACGATAAACAAGTCAACTTTTCAAGTTCATTTGGACCATACGGTATAGGGTAGGAGTATATGGTATACGGTAAGCTACGGCTTGGGTATACGGTAGACATAGGAAAATTCCAACCAAAACTTAATTCCATCTTTGTTTTCTTAGCCGTCTCTTGGCCGATTGTTCCGAAATTATGTTTACAAATAGAAATTGGCATTTTCTGCTTGTAAACAAAATTTCAGAGTAAGCGGCCAAGAGACAGCTGAGAAGACGAAGGTGGAATTGGGTTTAGGCTGGAATCTTTCCATGTCTAGTATACGGTAAGATACACCTTGGGATATACGGTAGGATGAGTCAAATTTTAAACTGAGTACAGAGTGATAGAGCTATCCTTTGAATACACTTGATAGCTTTGATGAAATTGTCCTTTTCCAGCAATCATCCCAGTCGCCATGCTCGCCGCCTATTACAACACCATTCAAATCGTTTGGGGTTATTCGACAGCCGCCGCGCTCACCGATAACACACGATTCCCGACACTCACCTCGATCACGCCGAATACGCTACAGTAAGCAAAATTTTTTGAAATGTTAAACGGAGAATTTAGTAGATATGATATTCGCCTGTGTAATCGGTAACCGCATCGGAATCTAAAGTTTTCAGTTGATGAGATCCGATCCGACCCAGATTTTATCCAAAAATAGAGCCAGTACTCATGGTTTTAATGAATTACCTATAGCTGCTTTTGTAAAGAAAGCTTGTATTATCTTACACATCAAAATAAATAAATATATATTCAGAGAACGAATATTCGAAATAAATATTTGTTTTAGAATGGGTTACGGCTTGCTGGCACTGATGAATCTTTATGGATGGTTTGTTTTGGATAATAAATAGCCAATAAACTTATTTTAATAAACTATAAATAGTCAATAAACTTATTTTATCTCAAGTTTTACAATTACCTAATATCCAGATGAGCTGCTGTAATCTAAACTGCTTCAGGTCACAATTCGGTATCGTTTACAACGATGACGTGGTGGGCTTTTGCGAGGGTCTCGTCACCGATGTTGAGGTGAGGGCTGAAAACTTACAGTATGCCTAAACACTCTTTCTGACCTATATTTTTATACTTTGTCGCTCAATTTATATTCATTTTAGACAGCCGCTCAATCGTTACCCCAAAATTTCACAATCAACTATCGTTACCGTTTACCGTCTGGCTCGTACGCGGATGAAACGACAGCCATGAAAAGGATGAAATCGAGAGCAAGAAGTAATACTATTAGGGTCTAAAACATGACCGTAACTTGTAAATTTAATACCCGTTGCAATAAGCCAGATTACCGTAACCAGTATCTGGTACAGGAACCCTCACTATTATAACCTATAACTCACAGACGAATGATCTTTTCGAAGAGCTTTTTTTGACAGGCAGAGCTTTCCGACGATTTTTTTCTAGTGTCAATAAGCACTGTAATGGCTTAGAAATAGTCTGTTTTTCAGAAATTTCTTCGGTGGCAGGACTCGCATCGGAAACCGCATCGGTTCTATAATCCGGCTCACTATCCTCTAGGCCCCCGCTGCTTCTTCTCTTCCCTCGCGTGTGGCGCGCCTTTATTGGCCAGGGGGCAATTTTTTAAAAATCGTGGTAATTTCAAATGCATTTTTCTGACCAGGATTTTCATTTGAACAAAAACGGAATAGCTATTTGAAATGCCCATATTCGGCTGATATTTGCACTTATCCTAAAACGTCATCCCCAGTTTGGATCATTGCCTTCTCAGTGCCTTTTACAGCAACCCAGACTACCGTTACCTCCCTCAATTAATGCTTGTTACAGTAAACTGAAACTTTTTCATGTTACCGTAACCAGTTCCCAAATTCTTTAGTCATCGTGATGTGCCTCGATGGAAGTACTCGTCGACAAATGTTGCTGGTTGTGAAAGATCTGAACATGACAAGTCCAGACTATGTTTACATTCTGTTATCAATGAGAGGCACTGGTTTTGGTCTGCAAGCTATCTCGAATTACTCGAATGAAGTTTGTAAGTGGTTGAAAAACTTGAAAAATTGCCTGCGAAATGTCCAAAATTAAGTGTGGGCTCAGGGGGGTCAACTTGGGGTCAACTTTGCTTAAGTTTTACACCAAAAAGTTAGTTTTTTTTGGACCATAATTTTAGTGGACAACGGTTTCACTCCACAATGGGTCGATTTGACGAATAAACCACCGGATGGACGGGATGCTGATGCAAAAGCGGCTTCGGCACGGTTTTTGATCGTAAGTAATTTCTTTTCACATTCTGATACAAAGCGCGGACGTCAAAAGCCGCCGTTGATCTGGGTTTTGACCTTGCTCAGCCTAGCTTCAGCCGCTCAACCAAAAAAGTCTTTGAGGCCTCAGAAGGCATGCCTGAAATTGGCTTCTGGCCAGGCTCTAGCTTGGCTTAATTATTTTTCAATCTACAGTACCCGTTTAGATTGACACAGCCAACCTCGCAGCTCAAGGCACAAACACTGCAACATTGAAACAAGAAGTCTTTCAAAGGGTATAAAAGATTTAAGAGTATTCGGATTCAATAAGCAACCCAGGTGACAGAATGGCCATTCTACTGTCAAACCTCGTACTGCCAACTGTTGTACAATGTATCTGGGGCAAGTTTCATTTGATCTTTCTCTCAGAAAATTCAATCCAGGTCGGTAACTTCATCTCATATCAATACGATGCAATGCTCTTCTATGCTTATGCGATGAATGCGACACTCAACCAAGATCCTGTCAATGGATTAAATGATATGGATCTCTACTTGAGTGTCAAGAATCAAGTGCATTTTACCGGTGAGTGTTACGGAGATCAGATTCTTATTGGGAGTCAGGCTTAGAATAAAGCCCAATGATGCCAAGTTAGAGCCCTTTTTCAGGTCTTAAACTGACTACTTCTGATCTCAACTTACCCAATACAAGCTCCTGGCTTCGCTTGTCTTACGTATAGTCGCTTCTGCGTAACAGATCTTAGATTTTTATACCGAAGCAGAGATATTCTAAGACTTTTTTCAGGCCCTAGAGCCTGACTAGGCCGGGTCAGCCAGAGCTGAGCTAAAAAGTCCAGTACTTTTCTCTATGGGTTAGACCAGTAAAGTTAGGCAAGACAAGGCTGGAGCTTATACTTTTGACGTTTGGAACAAGCTGGTCCTGAGGGACACTCGTTCTTTGGTTTGAGTTGGGATTGGTTCCTAGGGTAAACTACGATAGAATAACAATTGTGGCAGCGTAGGCAGCCCAACCTCAAGCATTTTTCGACACAACAAAGCTCATAACTCAAACCAACTCAGAAAAACTATGTGCAAATCAAGAAACATTTTAGAAAGCATTGTGTAAATTCTTCCATACACAATACGTTCGTAACACATTTATCCAAATCCCAAAGGTACTAAAGGCTAAGAAATTACGCGCAAGACGTGAGATGACAGATATATGCAAGAGAATAAAGAAACAAAGAAATCCACAAAGCGGTAAATTAGAAGTAGGAAAGAAATCTTCAGAAAAGCGCAACTGATCCTTTTTCAAAAAAAAAAAAAACCTTTGCGACAAGGGAGCAACGTTTAGGAAAGGCAAACAAAACAAGTGCGAAACAGAATTAACAAGCAACCTTTGCAACCACATCAGTCTCTAGCAATGACAACCCATCCAAGTCTATATCTATTTTTCAGGCTGGTCCGGGAACGTTCAAATGACCCCAAATGGAAGTCGTCTACCCACATTTTTCGTCTATGGTTTGGATGTGAATAGTAAACCGCAAATATTCGTCAATCTCACCTACGCGTATAGTGGAGAGCTGATGGTTTGATCTTCCGATATTGGATAAGTAATGATCAATATTAGACAGCCACTCCCACCTACACCGATCCGTCAACATCGATCTGGGTGAACCGAGGCGGCTTTCAACCAGCAGATGAGCCCGTTTGCGGGTAAATAGTTATATTGACAAGCTCAATAGCTAGTATTTGATATTATTATATTATAGCTTCACCGGTACCGATTGCCCGCTGACCACCTGGGAACAAAGTGGAGCTTATATCATAGCTGGATGTGCGGTGGCTGCCTTCTTGGTTGTTGTGCTGCTTTTCTTTGGCTTTTATGCAATCAGGTGAACCAGACTCATATCCAGGCTGCCTGTTTTAAACCCAAAAATCAAGAGATTGATTCTGTTAAGCAGTTGATTCTAATTTTAGATGAGAGTTGGTAAATCAAGTCTCAAGGGACGAATCTTCCCTTGACATTCCTGGGTGAATTTAAAGATTTCTACCAAATTGCTTTAACAAGGACATTATTTTAAACGATATAGCCTGTGGCAGCCACTGCGACTTCCTCTAGTAATCTTAATCCCGTAGTCACAATGTTTGCGTCGGCGCAAGCAAATTCCAAAGGACCGGTTAATCGATCAACGGCTCCACTATCAATAAGTTGACTCCAGATAGCCTGAAATGATTGTATCGAGTTATCATGGTCGCTATTCTTTTCGATAAATGGGGGTTCATCTTGCATACATCTCTTGAATCCCGCCTTAAGAAAACAATTTAAAAATCCGCTTTAACGTCATTCCAGGATTCATCGAGTAAATATAGTGCATCCAAAAGATGAAAAACGGTTAAAATTGACCAAATTTTAATTCCATTTTTGGAGATAGCCCTCAAATAGACTCTCAAGAACTCTCAAGATCGAACTCTCAAGAACAACTAAGCAGAACCGGCCGATGGGAAAATCTAGCTGACAAGACAGATGAAAGAGTTGCGGTTCTGACTAGAGAAGGGCGCTAGGTCACCGTGGGATTTCGACACGAGACCTAGCTCATTTGATAGGAAATCAAATGTGGATTCCGAATCTCTAATCAAAATCTGCAGAACAGCTCGCAAACGCAAGGTATTTTCTAATTTCAGAGAAAGACGTCGAGAAACGGAACGCCAAAACGCCGAGTGGCGAATCAATCAGAACCAACTGGAGAAGCCGAGGGGAAAAGTGGGTTTTATTATTGAAAACCAAACACTATCCAGTTGTTTTTAGTCAAAAATCATAAAAGGTCGGGCAATTTTCAGTGTTCACAAGTGGAAAATGTAGTTCTATTTGAAATTTTCAATTCCAGCACGATGAACGAAGCATGCGCTCATTGCGATCGTCCAAATCCTCCGTTTCAGGCACTGGATCGAAATTCTCCTTTGGAAGCAAGCACAATGATAGTGGTACGGTAGAAAATATGAATATTTCAATTTTTAGCCAAATCTTTTCATTTCTAAACCGATTCCAGATCGAATGAGCTATTTCTTGTTCATGGGCGATCCGGTGATGGCGATGAAACACAAAGTGGTGTCAAGATTGACTATCGAGGATCATCACGAGTTGAGATTGGTAAATACGAGTTGAAAATGTTAAAAATTAGCTTTGGTAGCCTCACTTTAACCGTCTTACGTTTCTGAACAATTTAAGATTATCATTCAATCAAAATATTATTAGATTCGTCGAATGGAGCACGATAACGTTCATCGTTTCATCGGTTTATGCGAAGAGGCGAGTCCCGTGTTGACCATTTGGAGATTGGCGTCGAGGGGATCACTAGAGGTAATAAACATATTAAATTTCTTGATTTGCTCACAAGGAAAGGTACCAAAAAGGGTGTGAGACTTTTAAACGGCGATGAGATGAAAAGCTTCTCGAACATGACGAATCCGTTGATGTGTTTATTTTGCCCACGGGCCCTGGCTTTCGAGGAAAGCGCACGCAAAGTTTCGGATTGAATGAATCCCGAAAATGAATGCGACCTTATCATCAAAAACATCGAAAACAACAAAACTTTTGCTGATCTATTTTTAAAACATTGTTTTCAATGATAAAATCGCATTTTCCGGACCTGAGATGTCAAAATTTGGAATTAGCATCAAAAAACTGGTCCAAAAAAAGTCAATTTCGAAAAAATTTGTTTTTGTTCAAAAAAAAGTAGATTTAAAAAAAAAGACTTGTTAACTCTTGTTTTATTCAGCAAGTCCTAACCGGTAGTAGCATGAACATCGATGGTTTCTTCATGTATTCCCTGATTCGAGATCTCGTCGAAGGAATGTGTTACATCAATAAGTCATTCTTGAAGGGACATCGGAGATTATCGTGGGTTTTTGAGCCACTTTAAGATCCATTCACCTTTTTCAGATCTCAAGTCTGTTACATCGATGATCGGTGGCAATTGAAAGTTGGCGGATATGGGCTGACTTTTATTAGAGGATTGGAGCAAACCACGAAGAAGGGTTTGTTCCTAAATTCTAGAAGCAATGAGCTTTAGAAATCTAGTTCTTTTAAATCTAGCAGATTTTAGTAGTTGAAAAATCTGGCTAACGGTTTTGGGCTTCAGATCAACAATAGTAGATCGGTTTTTCCAAAATCCCACAGTTCTTTTAAAGCTTTCAAATCTCTTAATTCTTTGAACCACTGGACCTTTATGATTTGACAATGTCAATACTTCAAAAATTCATCTAACGGTTTTGTCTTTTTCAGAGCAACTCTGGTTCGCTCCTGAAAAACTCCGTGAGCCAATGACACCTCCAATCGAAGAACACGATATCTACTCATTTGCCATCATTTCTTCAGAGATTATCACCCGAAAAACCGCATTCGATATGGAGAATCGAAGGGAAAAAGTTGAAGGTTAGAAAAGAAGACTTTATTTTGAAGAAGTCGAATTTCAGAAGTGACCTATATGATCAAAAAAGGAGGATCAGTACCGTTGAGACCAGACCTAGTGGTGGCTGACGAGGCCGATGTCAATCCGGCTTTGGTGAGGGAATTTCGAGAATTTATTCACTATTCGTATGCACAATATAGCTAATCAATGGTTTTTGAATTTTCCCATGTTTTCAGCTTCATCTCATTCGCGATTGCTGGCACGAAGAACCCCAAAATCGACCGAGATTCGAAACGATTAAGTCACTGATTGCAGCAATGGTGACTTGATTTTGATCCAATTGAACTTTAAGCTCAGATTTGCAAAGATTCTCTAAGCTTCGTGTCGCTTCCTATCTCCAGAGTTATCGCTAGCTATTGTGTAAATAGAAATCACAGCTGAAATCACCACTATTCTAGTTATTAGTGGCTTGTTTATCGCTCAGCTAGGGCCGAATAGAAGGCACAGCTTGTATTTTTCTATTCTGCACTAACTTTGGCTGATAAACAAGGTTAAAGTAAAAGATTTCAGAATGTGAACAGAATACTGTAATTTTACCTTATCTATAGAAACTGAATTCAAATGAATTCGAAAAGAAAGAAAGCAAAGTGCAAAGCAAAGTGACTCAAAAATATTCCACAACACAACAATTCGTACAAATCTTATCATGAAATCAAATTCCAGGGCTCTGATCGAAAACAAAATCTCATGGATCACGTGTTTAACATTTTAGAGAACTATGCAGAGACTCTAGAAAAAGAGGTAATGGCAACGCCGAAAGACAATCTAAGTTGTTTCGTGAATCTTGAAGCATTACATGAAAGCTAAATCCAATAATTCCCTTCAGGTACAAGACCGAACCGGAGAACTCGTCGAGGAAAAGAAAAAAAGTGACATTCTTCTTTACCGAATGCTACCAAGGTAAAAGCTGGATGTCGCAGTGGATTTTAAACCAATTTTAGACAAGTGGCTGACCGGTTGAAGCTGGGTCAAACCGTGGAACCCGAAGCCTATGACAGTGTCACGATTTTCTTCTCGGATGTCGTGAAATTCACGAATTTGGCCGCAAAATGCACACCATTACAAGTAAAAAGCGAATTTCTTCAAATATTGCAAATTTCCTTTAGATTGTCAATCTTTTAAACGATTTGTACTCGACCTTTGATCAGATCATTGAAGAACACGGGGTTTACAAAGTACTGTCACTTGGCTGTGCCATAGAATTACCGTAATCTAGGTAGAAACGATTGGCGATGGATATCTTTGTGTATCCGGCTTACCGCATCGGAATGGAATCCAACACATCAGGGATATTGCCGAAATGTCACTGGGATTCTTGAAGGCTATTCAGGTAGACAGATTACGGTATTGAAGGACAACATTTAGCTTAGCACATTGGCGATAGCGTGGGCCACCGGTGACCCCCGAGTGGACTGCCGTCTGGGACGGTGTGGGTCGCCGGTGTTCCACAATCATAAAGTTAGATAAACTGATAAAGGTGAAAAAACGTTATTTGGGGTTTTCAAAGATGGAGAATTCAAGTTTCGAGATAGTTTTGAATATAACAGTGGTTTGACAGATCAAAACTCAACCTAAACTTGTCCTGTCGCAACACTCAGACTTATTCTTAAATTTTCGGAAAAATTCCTAGCACAGGACGCTCTCATTCCACTATTCTGAAAGCTATTCATACTGTATCGAGATTTTTATCACTCGAGCTTTCGCCATTGAAGGACACATTTTAAACGTTAAGGCTTTCTTAAGTCAGCGGATTACGATATCAGAAACCAGCAATTAAGCTTTGGTCTTGCCAATCAGTAGGTTTCTCTGAAACAGTTAAACATTTCAGTACTTCCGAGTCCCGCACATTCCCACCGAGCGGATCAATCTCCGAATCGGTCTCCATTCTGGATCATGTGTAGCCGGAGTGGTTGGATTGACAATGCCAAGGTTTGGAGTGAAAAACAATAGTTTTCATTGTCCTATTTCCAGATATTGCCTCTTCGGTGACAGTGTGAACACGGCATCTCGTATGGAAAGCAATGGAAAACGTAGGTTCCCCTCGTTGCAAGTTTCATCTTCAAAGTTCAGCCGGTCAAATTCATATGTCCGATGCAGCCAATTCGATGATTCAACGATATGGCGGATATGTGACGGAACCGAGAGGAGAAGTCATCATAAAAGTAAGTCAGGAAGGGAATGGGAATTAGTTTGCACAAGGTGACCAGAAATAACCCGGACAAACCTTTTTGACTCGATCTTCACATGCAGATAGACTAAATAAAAAACCTTTCAAAATCGTTAATTATACACTCTTAGTAACTCAAATCCAAAAGATTTCGGTCCTAGGCCGTTTCTGTAAGTTCTAGGAGTTGAAAGAAGCAGCTCGTTGAAACCCCCTTCGGCCACGGCTCTTTTTGCACAAACGCGGTTCGTTCTCCTTTCGTTTAGTACCTTTGAGGTTTGGGCAATTTATTTGAGCCAAAGTACCACAAATAAATCTTAATTTTTCTCTCTAATTCTTTTCTTTCTATCGCCACCAAAGATCCACGAAATAGACAAGCCTAGATTACGGTAACCGGAAAAGTTAAACGAAAAATGACAATTTCTGGTGCCCTGAATTCTTTAATTTCTATTTGTAAGTTCAAAATCAAGCATCGATGCGTTTATACTACTGAGTTCAAAGTAGACGATAAGAACAATCCCACATAACCTGAATCATTCTTAAAGAATTAAGTGTGTCAGAATAGCACAAAGTACATCTGAGCTAGTTGATTATGCAAATTTTTCAGGGTAAGGGAGTGATGTCAACGTATTGGTTGCTTGGCCGAGTGGACGAGCCAATTCTTCCATCAATGAGTCAAAATCGAAGTGAGGAGCCGCTCGTTCAACCAAGAGACGTTGAAGAGAGCAGATTTGTAAGTTCAAAAGATCACATATTGGCTTTTTGTCAGAAATGACACCATTCATAGTTCCAAGTCCTATAAACCACCAAAGTTTCCGTTTTTTTCAGGATCCGATGATCGAGGATCTGGGAGGGGAGCAAGTGGAAGATCTCGGCATTTATCGAAGTCATCTCAAGAAATTGCCCATCAATCAACCCGATGAGATCCAACCGGCATAGAAAATGGGATTCAGGCTTCACTTATCAATGTTTTTACTTTTCAAAATGCATTTGGTCATTTTACATGCAAAACACATTGTGTTTAAGCTTTTTTTTATTCTCTCTTTTCAAGATTTTGAAACTCGTTGAAGTTTGAATACATTAAATAACGATTTCCTTGTCATTATTTCAAAACGTGAAACACAAAAAGTTAACTGATGCAAGAAAAATGCTCTTAGGCCAAAAATTAAAGATTTGTTGGTTAGAGATTAGAGATTAAAAAGGGTCCACGCATGCATTTTGGACTCTTTGGTTTAAGCTATAGAATGTTTTGACTTTTGATTTGAACTTGGAACTATTTATTTGATGTATCATGATACATTGAATAGTTTTCCAAAGTGGAATACTTCAAAATCTTTGTGATAGATCGCATTGAAATAGGCCATCGTTTCCGGGTTTTCTTCCATCGATTTCTTTAGAATCTCTGGCTGAGCTTTCTCATGATTTGCGTGTTGTGTGTCGGAGTAGAAAAGATGAAAGAGTACCTGAATTTATTCAATTGTACAAAATTTGATTAGAACTCTGGATTAGCGTCGAAAACCGGATGAAAATCCAACAAAAACGCCCCATTGAGTTGTTTTTTTCAAACTTTTTGAATTGCGGGGTTTTTTAATCCCAAAAAAACAGCAATATCTAAAGCATTTGGCTAAAAACAAAAGAAAAGGAGGTTTGAAGTTTTTTAAATTTTAATATTTTAATCAAGTAGGTTCGGAAAAACAAAAAGAGGGTTTTAAGGGAAAAGTTTTTGTAGAGGATTTTTAGAACGTTTCACGTTGAAATTGACGAATTTTTACAAAAGTTTTAGGTTCAAGTATTAGTTTCAACGACTAGTTGGTTTAAAACGATTTAAAAGGAGCAAACAAACGATTCGTTTAATTTAATTAAAAGTTTGAAGTTTAGCTTGTTTAAAAGGCTTAGCTTGGTTGTTTTGTTTAAAACCATTAGTTTAAAGGATGAATTTTTAAAACTTATAGAAAAATGTTTTTCAACTTATTTTTGAAGGGATACCTGATCCGAATAGAGCTTTGGTACTTTCGCTTCATCAAATACTTTTTGAAATTCACTTCTCATTTCCAAACGATTCGAATTATGATGAATTAGATGGAATTTCTTCAGTTCCTCTGATAAATTGCAGAACCTAGTAGTAAAATCTGAAAAAGATTCTTCATTCACTTACCAGCTTTGTGGTTGTGCGTGATAAATGACGATATCCCCGTGCTTTTCAACGAAATTCGTTTCTTGAACCGATCGAGTGCTCAACAAAACGTAAACATCTTTGGTGAATTTGTGAATATCGATCTCCGAACCACACATTTTTAGATAGCTAATCGATATTTTATATTATTTTTGCATTTTGAATCAATTAAGAATCACCGACTCGCAAAGATATCCGTAAAGGGAAAGGAAACGCTTGAGTGGCTCTCGGATAAGGACGAATCTCATCGGATTCTGGCAAACTTCCCATTTGTTTTGATTATTTTTGTAGTCGAGTTTCCATTTTTTCAGTTTGCATTCACTGAAAGAACAGGGATTTCACCCTCGTTTCTCATTGTTGCATTAATTTTTTTCGAAATCAGGTTTAGGTTTAGCAAAAAATTTTTATAGACTTACAAGGGAAGGTCAAGTGGGCAAGGTGGTCAAATGACATGTGGTATATACCATTCGACGCAGAATTTCACACTGATTTCGGTTTCAATTTTTGCCATTCGAAATCAGCGGGAAATTCTGCGTCGAATGGTATATAGCGAATGGTTTATAGCACATGCCATTTGACCGTCCCTTGTTAGAAATTCGTTCAAGATTATAAAGAAAACCGAACACATCACTGAAACACTCAAAAAGCGTTCATTTCCTATCGATTTATTCAAATCCAACAGCTCTTATTACCTGAGTTTTTTCTTGGGCCCAAAAGCAGCTTTGAAGGGGATTTGCCGAAAGTATCGATAAAGATCACAGAGCATGATTTTGGTGATGGTGGCTCCATTCTTTGGGATCATGCAATAGAAAAGACCAATTTCATTGATATGCTGAAATTTGGAGAAATTCATCACTTTCCTAGAAATCTCACCGATTCACCGATTTCCAATGCGGCTCGAGCGGGAATTGGCGGAATTTTTAGCTCGAAAAAGGGAGTTTAGTTTGAAATTACTTGAAGTTTATTCTTTGCTTAGAACTCTTATTCCAAGAAAACATGACTTTTGGTAAAAGCAACGATTTTTACCTGTCACATTAGTCAGATCATTTGAAAAAACAACATTTGAGAAGAGAAAACAATTGAAGAGTATTGAAAAGATGAATAGCATTACACATAAAAGATATCCTTTTGAGGATCTGGTTGCCAAAATGGCAAAGGAAATGCAAAGATCGTATCTGAATTCACTCGATTTCGATTCAGTGAAAGTCTTGTGTACTTTTGCTTCTCCGTGTTTCTTCAAAATGACTCATTTTGTATAAATAGTGAATGAAAGCGCTTTTCTTTTAGAAGTATGAAAAATATTTTAGGGCTTAGATACTCGAATCTCTCCGCAAAGCGATGTTGCAAATACTGACTATTCAATTTTGACTTGGGCACAAATTTAAGCTTCAAAAGCCTTTAGTTTCATGGATTCAAAATCCTTTCCAATCTTTTACAAGCCTGGGTCCAAAATCTGGTGTTATCTTGTCACTGTGACCTCATTTTTTCTTTATAAACAAAAGCGACCAACAAAAACGATCTTTTAAAAAACCATTTTTGCTTCCTAGCGAACAGCTACCGTATTTATTCTAATAGCTATTCTGATAATTCGAATAGCTAACAGCTAATAGCTGATAGCAAATAATCCTAATTCTACAACAAGAAATATGTCGTGCGTGCACAAAGAACAGTAGTGAACATTTCTGTAAAAAGCAAAAGAAAGGACCAAAATGGGATCGAAACTTGTGAGATCTGGCTCTGAAAACGGACGCTTGATTCTTTTTTCTTGTTTTTAGCAAGTCAAAAATCTTTTGATTTTGCTTATACAGGGTGACACAAAAGTGCGGAGCCACCTTGTTTTTCGGTCATCAAATTCAGCCTTTAAGTTAGCAAAAAACTCTCGAACGTTGAATATCCTTATAAAAGTTTGAAATTATGGCAAGTTTGTGTTAAATTTAAGGCTTCGCAAGTAAAGATCAAGTCTTTTAATTGCAAATATATCGCCAGAATCAACCCAAATGCCTGATGGCTTGAATTCTTCTCAAAAACCATGTGAAATTTCTGAAATTTCTAATTAAACGCAGTCAATCAAAAGCAACCCTATTTTTTAAAACTCTTTCTAGACGAATAGCAAAATTTGAGGTTGATTGAAGCTGAAACGCAAAACATAATTCTAAAAAGTTGGTGAGTCGTAATCGGATTTCAAGTTTTAACTATTGTTTCACTTAAAAAAATAGGCCGATAAGAATGCTCTGTTTTTGCCAAAAAAAATGTTTTCCAAACCGAAATTTCATCTTGATTTCGAGTTTTTCAAGCGTTTTTCAAATATTTTTCTGTTGACCCTAAAAACAAGGTGGCTCCGAACTTTTGTGTCACCCTGTCACCTTTCTTGTGCTCAATGTTTATCAATTCTTCCTTCCAATTCCCTGATAACAGAACCGAACCATTTCAGTTGTCTTTCAAAGAAAGCAAGAAACTTTCTCATGCAATGCCCTCCACTTCATTAGCACTCGATCTTGATATGACAAGAGAAATGGAATTCCTTACGGGTGATCTTCTCAAACATAAAACTGCCGCATTTTATGGATTGATTTTATAGAACAAATACAACAAGTTTAGTTGAACTCTTGCAATAAACTCTTAAATAATTCTTTATGAGATCTTATTAAATAAATTCACATACAAACTTTTTTTACGAGAGCTTTTTCGGAGTTTGAGTTCTCATTCGATTGTATTTTTTGATCATTCGACTTTTCAAATGTTTAGTCAATTTTTCAAACTCAAAAGTCAAAGTAAAAATGATAAATCATCATTTGCGCCCGTGGATTTTCGCCGGAATTTCGGTGAATTTTAGTAGGTTTACAAAATGTAGTATTGGACTATGTTTGACTCATTTCATTGATTGTTGTCATGTTTGTCATGATATTTATCATTTGTTGTTGGACACTTAAATAGATGCAGAAAAATTTGAACAAAATTTTTGAATATCTAGCAATTACGAAGAAAAGAAGGCTAGGGCACACTATAAAAGAAAAACTTAAAGAGAGTCGAACCCTTGACCTACAGCTTTGCATTCCGACACGTTATCCGCCACACTAACAACGATTTCTTTGTCGCGCATGCGTTATAAGAGAGGCGAAAAACTTGTTTACCAAATTTCTTGCGGTTCTGAACTATTTAGCAAAAACGGATAGCAGATTTGGAATCAGCATAAAATTCTGCATCGGATAGTCTAGGTCTCATTTTGATTGGTCACCTTGATTTCGTGACCTTCCCTTGTAAAATTTTCAAGTGGCTCAATTTACACTTTTGCAATTACAATTGTAAATTTACGGTTGTAGCAATTTTTGTAAATTACTATTTACTTTTCCTGGATTTTCAGCTTTCCACTTCTATCAAAGTTTTTGTTTTTTCCTATTCATTACCAAAGGTTCATTCTTTGACTGCATGTTTTTCAGAAAAAACCCTTAGTCTTTTTTGTCTCTTTCAAACTGTGAAATAGCTTAGAGGTTTGAAGTGAGAAGCCTCTTAGCAATTAAAATTTGCATCATTTGAGTCGCTCGAATATTCATTTTCAATTTGTGCTAGGAGATTCGTGGGTTTTTTCGTGTCTTGATAAGAAATAACAAACGCCGGATTTCTCAATGTTCTTACAGGTAAATACCCCATACAAATTGTACATTAACAACTCAGAATTTGATGGAAAATCTAATGAGACCTACCGCAAACCGATCCGAGGCCTACAAGTTGAGATATTTGATCTGCCAAGATCTGCCAAGCAAGG